GTCTTGTCAAGTTATCTTTTCCTTTAAAAAGAAACTTTTTCCCTTCTTTTATCACTATCGAGAATAAAAATTCTCTTTTAAAAAAGCTGACTGGTTGTTTCCTTTTGCGATAGCCTAAGAGGTTTAGGCTGAGTAGAGTCAGATGTTATGGGTGGAAGGTCAAATTCCGGATTTATTGGATGAAAGACTAGCTCTGCTTCTTCAAGACAAAGAGTCACCTCTGCTAATACCGATACAACAAATCTTACATATCCTAAAGACCTATTACTAATGAGTCAATTTTAAGAGTTTGGTTGTAAAGACTTAAGCTGTATAAGGATGGAACTCTTGGTCGAATTTCTCAAGACTAGGCACCTTGTGGATAAAGGTTGTATAAAGAAAGGCCTTTGGTTTGACATCTTTTTCGCTCATATATACAGAAGCACCTTGGTTTTTTTTTTCTTATAACAAAAACCGAAATCAGCTCACCCTTATCAAAAGATCAACATATTATTCCAACCAATCACAACTTACCAAAATCATACCATTGATTACTACAATGACATAACAATAACAACAATAACAATACCACCACCAACAGCCTATCACATGTTAATATCAAATAGATAATCTTGAAGAGAACAATGATGTGGACACTAACATATGTGTGTTAAATATGGCAGTACTAATGGCTTACTGAGTATGTAGGAGTTGCATCCTGCTTGGCAGTTTTTGTCTCTAGATTTGGCAGCTTAAGCCAACCAAATCCTTTGGAGTGTCTACTAGGAGATTTTGGAGTCGCGTCCCACTTGACCTTTGAAGCTTCTAGATTTGGTAGTTTGTACCAATCAAAGATTACAGTTTCGGAGCATTTACTAGGAAGTACATATCCATGTCAGCCCCTCTTTGTTTCCATAGCTGCGTGAGCCAAAGTTGTGATGTGAAAAGTTGTTTACTTAATATTAATATGTGTCTAATTTCTTTTTTTTCATCTTTCACTAAAATTGCATAGTCTGTCGTGCAACTATCTAGACAGTATATTAGTTTTAAATTTTCTTTTCTAATATAGTTTAGATAGATATTTTGGTAAACTAGCATTTAACTCATGTACTATGAGAGATGTAGGTTCTTTTTCAAAGTTATATCTTAGTATATATATATAATAAAGAACTGATGTTTATCAAAAAAAAAAAATTAAAAAAATTCTAATAATCTATATGTTTTAGGATGAAGATAATGATAATGAATAATAATTTAAATATTATGTAATATTAATAAATAAATTTTAATAAAAAATTTTAAAACATGTAAAATTGTCTATTATATTATCAATTATTATAAAAAAATATACAGTAGCAAAAATGTAAATAACAATAAATATAAACCTTCAGCGTCCTTTGAAAAAAACAGAGTATTCCAAAAATTATATATATAATCTCTGCTCTGGAGATTTCCATTATATTAATTTTACTAATGTTAATAAAGTTTGATTTAATAAGAATATTTCTAATATTGTGTAATAAAAGAAATTGCTGTATACAAAGTAACTAGATAGAATACAGATCAATAGACTGATCTGTATTGGCATTACAGACTCTGGTCAAATTCCCACACCTCTTTTGAGAAGAAAATCCTCTCAAATATTACATGACATAAATCAGATTGAAGCGATTGACTCACCATGATTTTATTGCAACAATATAATATAAGATTAAAAATTAAATAATAGTGGTAAGAAGGTAAAAGATGAATTTTTAAAAAAAGTGAAGTTTTTTTTACGTCTTTAAAAATTTAAAGAAACTTTTCAATATTAAAAAGTATTAATATTATAATTTTAAATTTTAAATAAAATAACAATTATAAAATAAATAAAAATATACATCAGATTTAATAGTTAAAATTATAAATTAAATATAAATTAATAAATAAATTTTATTTAAAAAATACAAATTTTAATTTTTTAAAAATCATAACCAATAACTTTTATTATTAAAATGTTTGATATTTTTAATATATAAAAAAATCTGACTATTGAATTTCAGAGATCACATGATTATAAGAGTATATTTAATTGGATATAAATTAATTTTATTAAGATTTTTCAAGAACTAACAGTTCAATTTTAATAAAATTTTAATGTTATACAATAAATATAAATAAATAACATAAAATTTTCATCTAAATTGGATGGTTGGTTGCTAAAAAAAATCAATATAAATAATAAATTAATATAAATAAAAAAATAATTTTATTGTTTATATTAATTTTTTTTAACAACCAACCATCCAATTTAGATGAAAATTTTATGTGTTATTTATTTATATTTATTGTATAATATATTAACATTTTATTAAAATTGAACTGTTAGTTCTTGAAAATTTTATTAAAAATTAAAATAATTATTTTTTTTAAATAAAAATTAATAAAAATTATATAGTTATTATTTTTATAACTGAAACTTTATGTCTTTATAATCAAAACCTAGCTTAAATTATATCCTCAGTTAATTTTTCTTTCTTTAGCTTATTCTTGTAACTTAATTCTTCATCAATAGAAATAATATTAATTACTATTGGATTCTTTAGGTGACAAGTATTTTAATAAGTTTATTAATTATTATAATACAATTATAAGTTATTACAAGACAATTTACTTTTTTAATTAACCATTATTCTACCTCTATTTATATTCATCATAATATATTCATTAATTTGATATTGTATTATAAAAATCTCTAACAAACTTTTTAAACTTTCTTCTTTATATTAATTTTATATTGATGTATAGATTGATGCATAGGTTGATGCATTGTATCATATTATATAATTCACACCAATTCTGTTACTTCTATCATTTCTATTGTTAATAATACTAATTTATATAATATAATCTCTTATAAAATTTTCAAACTTCTTAAAAGTTAGCAACAATTTAAAAAGAAAAAAATTATTTTATAATTGTTTTATTATTTTAAATAAATATTAATTATTTAATATTATTAATGTATATATACTTACTTGGTAAAAGTTAATATTAATAGATAATTGCAATAAGCTAGAATTAATTTATATTGTATATAAGAATTTTAAATTTAATAATTATAAACTTTTGTTTAATAAAATTCTTGTGTTTAATTAATACTTATTTACAATTAATAAATAAGAGAGCTAAAATATATTAGTATTTAATAATGAAGTAAATTTATAAATAAATTCTTATTTTTTTTCAAATATGTTCATAATACTTATAACTTATATTATACAGTTAAGTGAAAAACCAAAATTTGTTTAAAGAAATTGAAATAAAAAAATTCTATATTAGTTAATAGAGATTAAAGTAAAACTGGCCAAATGGAAGACATGTTTTGAGAGTAAAGATAATTTTCTAAATTAAAAACAAAAATATAACAAAAATATTTTTTTTAATATAAAATCAAAAAAATTTACCTATAAAGTTTCTTGTAATTGAGGCCACCTAATTCAAGTGTTTTTTTTAATTTTATCCTATTAAGTAATAAGTAAATAATGTCTCTTTCAAATGAAACAATTAATCTATAAAATTTTATATGCCAAACTTTAAAATATCAAAGAATTATCTTATTATGCAACAGATAATTCAAAAAGTTTATGTAATTAAATTATAGATTCTGTTACAGCAATCAATAATGAATTAGAAAAAACAACAAAATTAGATTTTGAGTTTTCTAATAGCATAAATGAAGTTCTACAAATATAGATATATTGCAAATATATAATTTAGATATCACTAAAAATATAAATATTAATTTCAAATTGTTAATTTAGATAACAAAGATGAGATAGCAGTTAATCAAAAAGACAAACCGTTATATCAATTCCAGAGCACAATGATTTTGATGTTGAAGTATTAGCTGAAAATATGTCGATAGACATTGATAATAATGAAAATTTAGTATTTAGTTTATATAAAATAATTTTGATATAATTTTGAATTCGGCATTAAATTCGAATTCACATTCGGATTTTCAAATTGATCGATACTATTAAGGAGTTTCGGTTAGTGTAATCTCCACATCGTAATATACTCGTTAAAAAAATACAAGGCAAACAAAAAAATTAAGAACTGCATGTTCTATTTTAGTGGACTATATTAAAAAAAAGTTCCTTGCAACTTATATTAAGTATCCGTCACTTATAGCAAGTTCTAACAATCATTTTACCGATGAACACAGATCGAAATTCTGAATCACAACTTAAAATCAGTAGTAAAATTAGTCACTTGCAAGAGCTGTTAAAAAAAATTGATTCGCTAATCAAAGGTATAAAAGTAGGTATAGAAAAGCATATAAATCAAAAAAAGTTAACAGAAAGATTAGAAGCTATCTACAATCTTCTCTTTTTTAATACATTCCTTTTCTTCAAATTCTCACTTTTTGGTCTTTTTTTCTTTCTTGAGGTAGGCCAAGAATCGGCAAAACGTTCAATCGATGATTGTGACGTAGAATAATTTCCAACTCCTAATATATCGTTTAGTAAATCATAATCATCTCCTGATTCAGTATTTGCATTCCGGATATTCAGTGTATGTAGGTTATCCCTTATAATAAGCTGTGAAATGATTAGGAAAACAGTAAGATTAATGAAACTGTGGGTACAGTACAAGTCTCACCTTATGTTGATATATTGCTACCATAAGTTTTAGAAAAGATTTTATTCCATCTTCAGAGAATTTGCTATCTACATGGTGAGATACAGCATCCTTCCTAAAAATACAAATAGATCCTCCGGCACGATATAATCTCGTGAACTGAATACTTAGACCGAGATGCAAAATACCGAAAACCTGAAGATTATTAGCTTTTTGTTCGTCATAATTTGCTGTTCTCACAAGATCAGCATACATGTCACGAAGTGTTTTCGGCATTTTGAACGTTTCAAGAAGGTACTTTCGATCTGAAACACCAGAAAATGATCCCGCCGCTTCGATTGCACCCACTTCAATATTTCTGTCAACTATGTATACTATCCCATCAATTTTTCGTCCTGTCAATATTCTTGTTTTTGTGTTTCCTGATCGACCGCGGCTTTTCCTGTTGGCGCTAGCTAGTGATGGCGCGTCGGTCCTACAAGTAGTGATGAATAGTTATGTTAAAAGGGAATATATTATCTATGGTACACCAGTGGAAAAATAGGAAAACCTCTTAATATCCGTGCACAATTGAATATCCCTCATACAGAGGTCGATGAATGTCTCCAAAAAAGTGACAGTAAACCAATTTTCGTATTGGTTTCTAATTAATGAGGAATCTAGATTTTCATATAGATTTACTAGTGTTCGCAATACCATTTGTATCCACTCCTGATTGTAGTGCTTGTTGATATCATAGATGGCCCCATCTTTTAAATACGATGTCAACACGGAATTACGAAGCTCACTTAATGTTTTTTTTTTCCCGTATCTCACCAGCTCCTCACCGATTTCACACGGAACAGCTGGAATCCTAATTCGATCCTCAGTTAATTCATTCCACTCCGTTTCGGTGAACAATGCCTTGACATTTTCGTCATCATAATTTATAATGTAGGAATGGGCATGGCTGATAACATATGTCAGATCACGGGAAAAAAAGAGAGATCAAGTTTTGAGAAAACTTACTGTTCATGCTCCATATCTTTAGCGAAATCAAAAAGTACATCTTCAACTATCTTTCCTGACTTCAAATGCATCTTTGCATTATCTGGGATAGCATGGTGCGCTTCACGAAAAGCCAATTTATCTATTTTAGGAGGACCTTCATCGTCCTTATTTTCATCTGCTTCATCCGGCTAAATAACAAGTAGACTGTGAGATATGTAAAATAAATTAATAAGAATTCTGTTATTAACATACTTCAACTGGTTCATCATTGTCACTCTCAAACTCCTCAAAGTCAGTAACATCGAATGAAGCAACTTTACTTCCGCAATAAGGACAAAATCTCATTGGTCCGGAGATATTAATCTAAAGAATAAAACAAAAAGGTAAATGTTGTTATCCATTGCAATGGCAAATTAATGCATTTACCTTCATGTGACATTTAGAACAATAACCTCGATCAGATAACAGGTTGGACAGTTGTTGTTTGGAAGAACTCTAGAAAAAATCATTAATTTCATCAATTAAATCTTACACATATGTAAGATCAATAACATTGGATGTATTATAAACTTAAAATATGTTTTTCGTTTTTACATAATCACCTTTGTTCTATCTAAATGTGCTTTCACAGTTTCTTCTGTCATGTTCTCCATCATATCTTGCGTTTTATTACTTATATTGACATGGTATCGTTTCTGCACAAGAAAGAAATTTAGTAAAACATCTTCCAAGTTTTTCTGCAAAAAAAAATGAATCCGTTTTAATTAAACAAAAACAATGATTATCACGGATTTACTATACCACTTCTTGACGTTTATCATCTAGATGTCTCGCATACATGTCTCGTACAATTTGATCTTGTTTGAAAACCGACTGTATGACAGTGTTAGTATGCTCCTCCTACCACAAGAAAGAGCGAAGATTTTAATTCTTCACCATGCTATATGCCGAGATACACTTAATGATCAAATACATCATACCATTATAACATTGCGTCTAGCTATGGCTGCCGTCATTTGATTTTCTACAGACGCGACATTCTCCCAAAACTTAGTGATTGATTGTGATTTCTTTTCCACCTAAAGAGATAATATTTTATAAGCAAATGACTAATAAAATCACCACGAGCCGCAGCTCATTCACACCTGACCGCAGTCAGGAGTGTTGGGTGATTGCTGGTATAAGAGCTTTTTCTTTTTATTGTAGGACGGAACCACCGACCGCAGTCAGTAGTTGAACGCAGACCGCAGTCCCATCCAAAAGTTTGGACCCGTCCGCTACAATTAAAAAAAAAAAAAAACCTGTACTATAGCAAGCGCCTTGTTTGCCCACTCAATTGCAATATCAGGTGCTTCTTTCCAGTTCAGTATTGCTGTAAGACTGCGGACATATCTTTCATGCTCTTTTTGTTTATTGAATCGGAAATCAATACACTTTTGACGGTACGATAAAAAATTCAACAGAGACCATTCATGGTCAAAAGTAAAATAAGTAGGGTCATCCACCGCGATTCCTGACGAAAAAGAATAAATTTCCTGATCAAAAATAAAAAAAAAAATCCAATAACATGCTAGGGAAAAATATAGGCTTGCCTTCAACTATTGCAGTATTAAATGACATGACATGTTCTGGTACATAAAAGAGAGTATATCACGCGTCATCGCGTCCATTTTTAAATGAAATTTACGATCATTTGATCAGTTCATCAAGACGTGTATAGGGCAGATCACATACACTTTACTTGAATTTTATTATTTTTTCGATATACAGTAAACCTTTTTTAAATGTGCACCTCTCAAAATCATAGAAATTTTTTAAAAATATGCATTTAAAGAAGATATGTGTTTAAAAGATTTTATTAAAAGTTTTATGTACTTAGAATCAAGCTTGATTGTATATTTAAAGACAAAAATATAGTAAGTGCATTTAAAAAGGTTTATAAAAAATATATATAATATAAGAATTAAAAAAATTTTTTATTATTATCATTACTTTATTAGAAAATTTCTTTTTTAATAATTTTTTTTTCTTTTTTCTTTTATTTCTTTTCTTTTATAAAAAACGAAATTTTACAACAGGATAAATCTGAGATATATTAATACTATATAAAGTTCTTTTAATTGTTTAATATCAATTCTTTAAAAAAATATTTTTTTAAGTCAACTAGCAGGGCCTTGCCTAGTGAAATATTTTATTTAATTTACATATATAGTTTTTGTATTACAAGAATTACTATCTACGAACTATTCTATATATCACTAGATTATATTAATTTTATTTTATATTGACTTGTTGCTGTTAACTTATTTTAAGAAAATTATATCAAAGCTAATGTGTCAAAACTTTATTAGTATTGCTATTGCATATATATTGATTTGTTTTGTTTGACATTGTACAAATTAAAAGAAAGTTGAAATGTAAAATAGTATTTATTTTTGACAAATAAAATATTATTGAAAATATAGTAGGGAACAAAAAAAAACACCTTTTTTATTTTTATTATTATTTAATTAATAATAATTTAAATCAATAAAAAAATTTTATATTTGAATAATTTAATATCTATAGAATAATTAAAATTAAAAATTATTAAAAATATTTTATTAATTATTTTAATTTTTAAATTTTTGTTAAAAAATCTTTACTATACTTTTTATTTTATCAAACAAAAAGTAATTTTAATATTTTTTTTTATTTTTTTTTGCTTTTGATATAATAGATTTTAAAAAAAAATTTAAAAGCAATTTAAATAACAAATAAATTAATTTTTTAAAAAATATTACTAATAACTATTAAAAATATTATTAATAAAA